CTTCACAAAACTAGTACTCACCGTGTGCTCCTCTCTCTCAAGTGTGCGCGTCCGTGAGCCAGCTCCCCGAGAACTCATAGTCTAGCCCCAGAGCACTCCAGCTTCAAGTAGTACAGTATAATACAGGAGCACTTCAGCTCACACTGCTCGTGTATCCTCTGTTCGTGTGTGTACTAGTGCTTCACTGGTGTGTGTGCTACTCGGGCCAGATATTCTGTCCCCCTTAGACTAGAATTACTAGTCTGTCATTTGGGCTAACATATAGTATTATCTTAATTTTGCATGCAATGTGTCTCTTACTCCTAGTTACTATGGAGTTTTTTATAAGCACAAGCATGGAAGTAAAAAATAGTCAGAGTTATCAGGTAGGTCACTTCATTGTGTCAGGCTAAACAATGTTTGTGAAATCCGACAGAAATCATGTAGAAAAGCAACTTCAAATCACATTAGAAAATATACACAACGCTTAACTAGAAAGAAAAAAAGGCATCCTGTCGCATTGATTGAAAGTGCGTAAAGTATACTGTAATACTGTATAACCCTTAACTAAACTAGTGCCATCTGACCAGCAATAAGAAACTTATGTAGGAGAACGTGAACCCTGAACAACACCAAGATTATGCGTGGGTTAAGCACTCCGCCATCCCTCCTGTCCCCATGCTTCAGTGTGCAACACATTTGTTAACAGAAATATGAGAGAGACAGTGTGTCAGACTAAGGGATTGAAAATTGAAAAACAGGTCAGCAGCTGGCATATGGGTTCCACTAATCCACATCACAAACACCTTGTGTCCATTCACAATTAGAGCACGCACCTCTGAAGCTCTCGCTCGCTCCCGCGCCACGCCGTCCGTCGGCGTGGCGTCGCGCCTTAGCCTGCTGTGCTCGGCGTGGCGTGGCTCCTGTGCTGGCGGAAATGTGGCCCAGAAGGAAGGGGGAGGAGGAAGAAGGTGCGGCATTTTGTCCTCCTCCCGCCGGAGATGCGGCGTCTCCGCCCCCGCCGTTCTGCTCCTGTCGACCAGACCAGCTCGTTCCCCTCGCGCACCTGGACCTTTCGGCTTTCTTTGGTGATTCGGCCCAGCCCAGCCCGCGTTATGGGCCTGGCATTCATTCACGCGGTTCTCAAACAGGGGGAAGAAAACGCAGCTTTGTACTGCCTGCTTTCATCTAAACAAAAAGTATGGAGGTCAATACTGGATGGACGAGATACACTCTCTCAAGGACTTATAAGGAGAATTAGAGACGGAAATACTACACGAATCTGGGAGCACAACTGGTTACCCCGTCAACATAACATGTGTCCTATAGTGAGCAGAATACACAGTCCGCCGCAGTTCGTTGGGAAACTGCTCCTTCCCAGCGCAGAATGGAATCGTGACATGATATCAAGCGTCTTCGTGCAGACTGATGCAGTAGCTATTCTGTCTATTCCTGCTTGTACGAGACATATACAAGACTTTTGGTCCTGGGTACACGAGAAAAACGGAGTGTTCTCAGTGCGTTCTGCATACCGGATGTCGGTCACCACAAAACTGCGACGAGAAGCCTGGCTAGAAGGCAGAGCAGACCCATCCAATACCGAAGGCGAGCAGAAAGCTTGGTCAAAGTTGTGGAAGATAGATGTCCCTTCAAAGATAAAAATCTTCCTCTGGAGACTAGCCCAGCAGTCTATCCCAACTTCAGACCTTCTCCATCACCGTAATATGTCTACGGTGACGACATGCGGACTATGCGGCAGCGAGGACTCTTGGCAACATTCCCTTCTACACTGCCATGCTGCTCGGTGTGTGTGGGCACTGCAGAACCCCGACTTGGTCGAGGCAATTAACGGCATCAGGGAGCCTGATGCTAAACGCTGGGTCTTTGCGGCCATGGATACAATCCCTTCCAATGAATTCACTCAAGTTCTGGTCACTCTTTGGGCCATCTGGTATGCAAGAAGGCAAGCTTTGCACGAGAATATTTTTCAAAGTCCCCAAGCCACACATGTTTTCATCATGAAATACTTGCATGAGTTGGAGGCGTGCAAGCCAAAACAGAAAGCTGCTCCGCTACATGCAGCTCCAAACAGGTCACGCCCAGCTTGGATTCCTCCTCCGCACGGGGTGGCAAAGATTAGAGTGGACGGAGCTGTGTCAAGGGCAGCTGTTGAAGGCTCCATCAGCGCGGTCTGCAGGGACTCGCAGGGACACTACTTAGGCTCCTCAGCTATGAAGATCCCGGGGATGAATGACCCAGCGACGCTTGAAGCTTTGGCATGTCGGGAGGCGATGGCGCTGGCCCTGGATCTTGGACTCACGCATGTGGAAATAGCATGTGATAACAAGGGGGTGGTTGGAGACATCAATCAAAGAATAGGAGGAAATTATGTTGCGGTAGTAAAGGAGATAAACCCCACCTTGAATCAGTTTTATCAGTGTACTTTCATTTTCGAGGGTAGAGGGATAAATTTAGAGGCACATAGCCTTGCCAAACATGTTTTTGGGTTGGGTTTTGGACGCCATGTATGGCTACTGAACCCATCAAATTTGAGATGTATGCCTATGAACATTATTGAGCAATAAAAAAAGTATGTTTGGACGCAAAAAAAATCTAAACAAAAAGTACTGCATGCTCGATTCTCAAAAAAAAAATGCACTACATGCTCAGTCGAGACGTCTCTGGTGACTTCGTCAATCTTGAAATGATATGCCGGCTCAGTCTCTCGGAGATGCTCATAATAGGGTATGCGTGTGTGTTCATAGGGATGAGTGTATGCGAGTATATATGAGCATCTGCGTCTGTACCATGTTCTAAAAAATGTACTGTATGCTCACTCGCTTTGTTTCATGCTGCTCCATCTGTTTAAACCTACCCCTAAAAAAACTGTTTAAACTTTTTTTTTAAACAGCACATCTATTTAGAGCCTTTTTTGTTAGACCAGCCTTGACAAAACACTCCCTGTTTCTAATCTAAAATAAAAAAAAGTGTAACATGGTTGACATTTTTCTTTATTGGCGTTTTCCTTTAACACGGTTGCCACTACAGTACAACTCCCTGATGTTGGTCGTGCACATAGTAGGCATTGCCTTCATTTCTAAATGCAAGACCTTTGATCGAACTGCCAAAACATCTTATATTCAGAAACAGAGAGTTTAATACCGTGTGATGCGCTTATTTGTATGCGGACTTCATTGTCTGTAGGCTATAGCCAGATACATAACTTTAAAGTGCATGCGCGTACAGAGTTTTATGGCTAATACATGTTTAAAGATAAGCTCGCTCTCATGATCTTGAAGCAAGTAATGACTTGAAGGGCGATGGAAGCTCGCACGCCCATATATATTGTCACTTTAGGCAGCTTGTCGTTCTTCTTACCGGTTACCTCCCAGGACTCCCTTCTTCTCTGGAGCTGAGGGCTTCTTCTTCCTGCCCTTTGAGTTAGCGTCATCACCATCACAGTCAGAGCCCGAGTCACAGTCGTGGTCCGAGTGGGATCGGCCATTGTCGTCATCATCGTCGCCACCATCATCATTATCATCATCGCCACCATCATCATCGTCGTCGTCATCGTCGTCGCCATCATCATCATCATCACCACCACCACCACCACCACCACCATCATCGTCGTCGTCGTCGCCGCCATCATCATCATCATCACCACCACCACCACCACCATCATCATCGTCGTCGTCGTCGTCATGGTGGTGGTGGTGGATCTTCTTTTTGTTACTCCGGTGAGGGCTAGGCTTCTGGCCTTGCTCCTCCGCTGATGCCAAGTCCACTAGATCGCCAACAACAAGCTGAGGCTTGGCCACCGCTTTCTCCTCCTGTTTGCAGCAGTGCGCCGGCAGGGTGGACCCGCTCTTAGTCCCCGCCTGGTCCGTCTGCATGGCCGTAAGCGACTTCGTGGCGGCGGAGGCAAACAGAAAGGTGACGGCGAGCAACAAGGTGGCCAGGCAGGTGGTGGCGCGCCCCATTTGTGTGTTCGGTGAGTGTGAGCTCACGCGCGTTGGCAATATCTAACATACACCGTGATGTGCATGAATCCTTGTGGCATCGAGTGCAAGGTATATATATGTTTGTTGGCTTGGGAATGTGTAGGACATTATGGAGTTGAAAGCTAAGCTCTATAGTGCGTTGGTTTGGTTTTCATTGGAAGGGTGAGTCACACCTCGGGTGGTACATTATCTCCCTTTTTTAACATCATGCGTACATTATCTCCTCATTGTTTTTATCCTCCACGAAATATCTCCTTGTTTGTGTTGAGCTAAGATTTAGTGCGCCGAGACTAGGAAGGAACTTGTGCACTCACCCGTTGCGATTTTCCACCATGATGCTCATATAGTATAAACTGTGATTTTTTTTATAAAGGGCCTTTTTTCATTCAAATGTTATATCGAATGACACAACTGCGACGGGTGAATATGTGGCCTTTACATAACCAAATGCACATAGCCAACAAGTCATAGAAAAAGCATAAGGGATGGGGGGAGGGTTGTGCCGTGAGACATGCGCAGAGCGCCGCCGGCCGCAGGTGGTGGTGCCAAGCAGAGGGGCAGAGCAGGCAGGCGGTTGTATGGGAGGAAGGGGGTGAGGTTGAAGATGAATAGTGCCCTGATGTGTTTTTGGCCGTTGGATCAAGATCAAGTGGTCCTGGGAAAAGTGACCGACGCAAAAGACATTTTCAGCTGCTTAATCAGTACACGCTCCCTTTTTTTAAACCAGACTTGAGAAAACACCACTTGTTTCTACAAAAAAAACCTAACACAGTTGACATTTCCTTTATTGACGTATTTTTCTTCGGCCAATCAATACATTCACGGAACTCTACGGATATGTGATACACAAGTTTACAAAAGTGAAACACAAGGAGAGAACATTACATTACACCACGCTGCAGCTCACTAGCCTCAGGAGAAAATCGCACTGATTAAAAGGACTAGCGAGCACTAAAATCAACCTTCTACCAACCACATAACCGCATAGGGGAAAAAACAGTCGCATAACTGCTTTACATCCTAGCAATCTTTGAGCGCGATCAGCTGGTCGACGACGCCGGGGTCAGCGAGAGTGCTTATGTCGCCGAGCTCGTCCAGCTGCTTCGCGGCAATTTTGCGCAGGATCCTGCGCATGATCTTGCCGCTGCGGGTCTTGGGGAGCCCCGGCGCCCAGTGGATCCTGTCTGGAGCTGCAAACGCCCCGATCTGACACGCAGGAAAAAAACCCGCATGAATGACAGGCAGCAAACAGCATTGAAGGAGCTCAGTTGCCCATGTTTTAATTCTTTGCTATGTCTTCCTAGCCAGCATAAGATTGACAGTAGCTAATCTGGAGCATGTTTCATCTGGCTAACAAAGAGTGTTAACTAATTTGCCTGAACTACAGGCCTCGTTATAGTAGCTGGTGAATTGGGAACATTCGCAATCTATCAGAACTCACTTTGTTCTACACAATTTTGGCATGCTGAATAGACAAATTTTAAGCATGGGATCGCATACTTCCATGTAAAGGCGGAGTTTTATTTTCTGATAGTGTAACTCGCTTTAGAACGGAAGATGTGAAACATCCAAAAGTATCACGAAAATACCTGAGTGCGGACTTTTGCTATGAGGCTCTTTCGTAGTTCTTCACTGTAAGGAACGCCATCCACCAAAGTTACAAAAGCATATATTCCCTGACCTTTGACCTGAAGTACTTCTTTTATTAGAAATTTGAAGCAGATAATATGACAATAAGAACTGTATATGATGGGATAGAAAATATAACAGAAGTGCAGGGAAGGTTAGATTATCGGTGGGCCATACCTCATGCTCAACACCAACAACAGCGGCCTCTGCACACTGTGGATGCGAAACCAAAGCAGACTCAACCTCTGCTGTGCCAATTCGATGCCCACTGCATATTCAAATGTGCAAGATAACTCAGTTCTAGCATAACAATTTTCAACAGCCACATACTGAACTTAAACTCTAGCAAATAGCAAACAAACCAAATAAGCAGCTTACCTAACGTTGATAACATCATCTACTCTTCCAGTAAGCCAGTGGTAACCATCTTTGTCCCTGACATGAAAATATTATTTGCTGCGCTGTTAGAGAGGTAATCTATATTGCGTAAAACTGAAATACGCTTGGATCTCATGCCCTGTTGATGGAAATAACTCAACAAGTTACCTGCTGCAACCATCACCAGTAAAATAGTAGCCAGCAAATGGCTTGAAGTATGTGGTCTCATATCTGTCATGATCTCCATAGAGGGTCCGGAAAGCCCCAGGCCATGATTTTTTAATGCAAAGATATCCGCTACATTCTCCTTCAATCTCCTGTCCTTTCTCATCAACAATGACCGGCTGTAAACCGTACAAATAGTAATGAGTATTAGATAAAATGCATGGCTGTATTCTGTATTTCACAGATAGATTGCGTTTACCTGCACACCAAAGAAAGGAAATGTTGCAGAACCCGGTTTCTGAGGCCAGGCACCAGGTAAAGGAGTCATCTGCAGAGAGCATTTACAACAGTTTAAATATTAATTTCAAGATCAGTCACTTTATCGCCCCATGAAAAAGAAATTGAGAAGAAGTGTCAGCTTTTAAGAGGCACTTACCATGAAGCCACCAGTTTCAGTCTGCCACCAAGTATCTGATATGGGGCACTTTGAATCCCCAACAACATTGTAGAACCATCTAAAATGAAGTAAAACACGCATGAGAACAACCTCTTATAAGTGTCCCTGGATAGTATTACTCTTTAACACTTGATAAATTATCCATGTACCTCCATGCACTAGGATTAATTGGCTCACCAACGCTTCCCAGGACTCGGAGAGATTTTCGAGAGTAGCGTGTAACATACTGCAAAAGCATATCAGGCAATAAGTAAAAAAAAAGCAACATCCACACCAAACATACATATAAAAAAGGTTTACAGAGTGGCCACTATGAATGTTTTTTATGCTATCCAAATCATATTACAGCCAGTGTGTTTTATTTCCAGTGTGTCATATTTGTAGTCTCCTGGTTGGATTCTTTCCAACCATCATTGGCAATAAATAGCTCGCTGTAGTTGTTCCGTAAAAAAATTCATGGAATCCGATAGTTAAGAGCTCAATCTTGGAGAACAAGTGTTTATCGATTAATCACTAAATCTAATAGTTTTGCACAGTAGAAACGGCTCGAGAATCTTCTGATTGTTAAGTCATATGAGCTTCTTAGCAACTTAAGTAACTACATATGTAATAAGCAGTGAGTGAACTATTGGTATGTTATGTTAGGTTGACTGGGTTGTCAGATGCAGATATATCGAAATAAAAGCAGACAAGCTCCAAAGCACACGCTTCCAACAACCAACGGACAGTTCAATTCATGTTCACTAGAACCAGCTGTCCGGCAAATGTTGAGATTTAGTAAACAGTAAAAATCAAGAGAATATTGAACTTGATGGTTGATTTGCAATCATTTAAGATTTTAATTAGATGACTTAGAATAGTGAATAGTTCTTCCCTCCATTCAAGACAACCAGATTGACAGACTTGAGCATAGTAGGGGTCTTAAACACAATGCCATCCAGCATCAATGGCTTGTTCACATTACTGGGAGCTGGCTTAAAGAACATCATGCATACCTCATCACCATCGCGCATGAGTGAACGGACGAGTGTTGGTGCGGTATAAAATATTGACACCTTGTACTTGTCCACAATGTCCCAGCACCGACCAGCATTAGGGTAGTTCGGAGTCTACATGTACATGATTCAATGGCATATTTAGGCATAGTACAACTAAAATCAAGCCCCACAAAAATTATCGAAGCAAACAAATTGAGTTTTAAGAAATACATACAACAAGTACAATTTCTTAAACATAAAAGTCTAGTGGATTGTGTTATGAATTGTCAAACAAAAGGACACATCAAACATAATGACAACCCCGAAAAATAAAACCACTGAATTTTCTTTCATTCATCAAATTTGTATTGAGCTGACATAACTTCACAATATCCTAACTAGAAAAGCTTTTAGAAATATATACCCCTTCAAAAACAAGAACTGCAGCTCCATTCAGGAGTGGGCCATATGTCACATAGCTATGTCCAGTAATCCAACCACAGTCTGCAGTGCACCTGATGCCAACAAACAACGGAAGGTATAAGGGAAAACAGCAATTTCTATTAGTAGTTCCCCAAACAAAGGACATGCTTTATATTCATACAAGTCAAAAACAAAATCTTCTGTTTACCAGTATATGTCTGTTGGCTTGTAATCAAATGCATACTTAAATGTTGTTGCAGTATACACCATATAGCCCCCAGAAGTATGCATAACACCCTTCAAATTTATTAACAGAGATTAATACTCGGGTAACTTGACAACAGGATAATCTAGTGTAGCTTAATACCTTTGGTTTTCCAGTGCTGCCACTCGTGTACAAAAGAAACAATGGATCCTCCGCATCCACCCATTCCACATCACACTTGGTAGGAAAGTTGGTCACAACATCCTGAAAGTTATGTCCAAGGAACAATGGTTAATTGATATTTGCTGTTATCTGAGGATGCAGGCCTGCCCTGAAATACAGGATGCATATTGGAATGTTGACAAGTTGCTGTTGAAGGGGAAAAAATGCACCTGCCACCAAACATCCCTTCCTGCTTGCCATTTTGTGTCTTGCCTCTTCATTACTGACTGGTTTTCGTATGTCAAACAAATACCTGCTCAGCACAACAGTAGTGACTAGTCAAAATCAGCAAACCACATATTGACAGCATTCAGTTATATATGGATCTGCCAATGATCTGTAAGTCATCATAAATACTGATCCCATTGTCCACCACTGACAATATATGGATCTGAACCTAATTTTCACAACACAACATTAAACCCCGTGATGGCAAGCGTGAGTGCTGCCACGGAAGCCCAACAACAGCTCAAATTGTCTATGCAATATAAAAGTCGATCCTAGTACATACCTACAGAGAATCCATTCTTCTCACTTTCCACCAGAGCAGCATCCACTATGTCTTTGAGAAGAATGGGCTTGGGCCCCCTTTTCACGGCATTACAAGTGAGCACAAGCTTAGGCTTGCAATCAACGATCCTTTGGGCCAGCGAATCCGCAGAGAAGCCAGCAAACACAACCTGAAGGGAAATTTGGGGTGCATCGCATCATAAACGGGAACAGGACCAACCAGGATAACAAATGGAGCTTGCAGTGCAGTGCTTACCGAATGGACAGCACCGATACGCGCACATGCAAGCATGGCAATGGGAAGCTCCAGCAGCATCGGTAAGTAGATGATCACAGCATCCCCCTTGCCGACACCAACACTTTTCAAGTAATTTGCAAGCTAGCAGAAAGCATAAAACAAAACAAATTCAGATTCAGCACCTTCCCCAAACCTCTAATACTAAGAGCATTTACATCCCTTGGTACATTTACTGTCCATTCACAAAACAACCAGATATAGGCATATGCATAATTACCTGGCAAACCTTCTCCACGAGCTCAGAATAGGTGAGCTTCCCATCCTGGCCGGGCTCATTGCCCTCCCAGTACAGTGCAATCTTGTCCCCATTCCCAGCCTCGACGTTGCGGTCGACGGCATTGTAGCATATGTTGGTTTTGCCCCCTTTGAACCACTGGACAACACCAAAGAACCAACACATGATTCGCAATCACCAGAAATGCTAAATTCAGACAACAGCCATCACCAGAAGACACCTACACTGATGTGGACGGGGCCCTTGCTGACGTCGAGGTTTTCGGAGCAGACCTCGCTGGGGTTCCACTTCTCCTTCCAGTAGAAGGCGTCGGCGATCTCTGACCAGAACCCGGCCGGGTCCTTGATGGACCTCTCGTACATCTCCTTGTACTGAAACACACACCAAGTGAGATCACAACTTTAAGGCATCACAATCATCAGACCGAAACGCAGCAAGAAAGGAAATGAAGCACTAAAATCAAGACGAATGCATCCTAGCACTGTTGCTATCTCTGTGTACGATCTGTCGGTAGAACATAAAATCAGCAATGTCCCTGTCCGACTGACTTTTAGCGAGCACCGGGCTTGTCTTGATCATGATCAGGACAAGACATTTTTGTGCTGAACTAAAGCAAGCGCCGCGGTTGATTGACAGCAAGCGAGCCATATGGAGCGAGCGATCGAGGAGCAGAGTGGGTGCGTGCGTGCGTATATATGTATGTACCTGCTGGGGGGAGGAGACGAGTGCGGTGGCGGAGAACTCGGCGCTGGGGAAGACGAGTTCGTGCTCCTCGTCGGCGAGCGACTCGCCCAGGACGACGGCGCTGATCCCGGAGATGGACCCGGCGCCGGAGGGCCGCTCGGACATGGACTCGACGTGCCGGAGCTTGTCCGGGGTCCCTCCCGCCTGCTGGCCCGCGGTAGCGGCGCCCATGGCTGGCCCAGGCGGCGGCGACGGCGGCGGGGAGGCGGAGGAGGGGGCGGGGCGGGGGCGGGTGGGAGGTGCAGTGAGATCCAGATCCGGGCGGGGGACGGGGGGCGGCAGCAGCGATGGGTGTATAAATAAACGATCTTTGAGCGAGGGCGAGAGCGATCTCTCGGTGATCTCCGAGCGCGAGCGGCGACTGGCCGCCCACCACCCTCCCTTCTCCGACTCCTCCCCCGCCTCTGCTGGCTGCTGGCTACCGGCCAAGTCGTGTGTTGACTTCCCTACTCTCCACTGCCAGCCACGGAGGGGATAGCGACCGGCGCAACCGCGACTGGTAAAATATTGGCAGGTACGGGGTGGCGACGCGCGGCTGGACGGGCCGGCGGCTTAGCTAAGCCGCCGGTCAGCGGCAGCGGCGGCACCCGCTCCACGTGAACCCGGAGCCGCGGCGGGTGGCGCGGGGCGAGATCGTGCGGGTTGGTGAGATGGGCGGCTTGCGTTGGGCTGGGTTGCAACTGCGCGCGACCACGACATGACGGCTTCAGGCGTGTTTGGAATTGATTCAGCAACTCCACAAGAAAAATCCTTTTCAGGCCGTGATGTGACTTGCCACCGAATAATTGGTCATTTCTTCCTTGATATTGTGATATTGGTTCATGAATCAATCCCCTCGCCTCGCCGCCAGTGGCGGATCCAGGAATGGAAATTTACCGGGGCAACCAACGGCGGCGAAGCTTGGGGGCGCTACGCCGTTGGTCGTCGGGGTAAGGGGACCATCCTCCTTCATCGTCGAGACTCGAAATGGAAAGTTATCTGGATGACCAACAACGACGGAGCTTGATGATGTTGCATACTGGCCGGTAGGTAAGGGGTTTACCCTGCTCTGTCGTTGGAGATCCGGGGCGGCCGGGATCATCATTGCTCTCACTTATCATGCTCCGCCTAAACCGTTGGATATGAAATTCAAAATGTGCCATTGAAAAAAAAGTGTCGTTGGTCTGAAAAACGCACGCTTTCACTTATTTAAATTTGAAAAGTTGTGGAATGATTGCACATAATAACGGCAGAGAAATGTGACATGGCCCACTTGTGAGTTGTGCAACGACCACACGACGAGCGCTCGTTGTTCCTTTGTTTAGCTGGGGCTTATTTGATTAAAATGATTTTCGTGAAAATTATAGAGGACTTTGAAAATTCTAGCTATGTTGGTCTTTTGGTTTGTAGGATCAAATATATATTTTTCGCTTGTTCTGTAGGATTAAAAAATTCCCTACGGATTCCTTTTAAATACAATTCATAAGAAATGTAGCTTCCACTCAAACGCCTTGAAAATATCACTTGGTTTTTCCATCCCAATACTAAGTTTTTGATGGAAATTTTGTTTATAATTCAGCGTTACACCTTTTTTAATACGAAAAACATTAAAAAGCAAGGTAAGTAAACAAATAAGTATGATGTTTTTTTTATATAGAGGTTTGGTTTGTTCGATGTGACGGCAACGCACGCAACAACAATAACATGGGAGCAGAAGTACCAACAACAATGCCAAGGCTGTGACCCTCTTATTAAATCGGACTAACCATACAATGTTCGGTGAGATGTAGCTACCGCTCTGTTTGTAAGCGTCTCTTTCATGTACTCAACAGCCTAATGATAAGATAATAATGTCATCAGACCATTAACGTATACAAAAAGGTTGCGAGTGTAGTCCAAGCATTGATCGGATCTACCTAACGGTCCCACAGTTTTGTTTTTTTAAAGTAAGTTTATAAACCTACCATTACTTTTTTATAAACTGTAAAAGAAGCACACTAATTTCGTACAACAATATTTTCCTTAAGAAGGACACAACTATTTATGTAACGCTGTAAAAAGGCTCAAGACAAGTCTGTCTTTAAATTAAGAAAGGCGTCAATTGGCCATGAATTATAGTGACCAACAATTTACCAAAGAGAGAAAACAGCTGATACATAATGCTTACAAATAGCATGTTCTTTGACAAAACAAACACCAAAAACAGAAATAAATCGTAACTTGCAAAGTAGATGCAATCGCCCACCACGACAACAACAACTGAAATACTGTACTTTTAGTAGTATGGCTTCACATGAGTCATTTAGCAGTGCAATTTCCTCGCCGAGGAATGACCAACGGATTGAGGACGAGGATTGGAGTTGAGACGTGGAGATAAGAAAGAAGAACATGAGGAAGTGAGTGACATTTCTTCTCGTTAATTCATCAAAAAGTTTAACAGTTGTTTGTTTGAGCTTACATTTCTTCTCGTTAATTCATCAAAAAGTTTAACAGTTGTTTGTTTGAGCTTACAAACGGACACGCACTATCTACTCCCAAACTTGAATGCTTCCTGATGTAAAAAAAATAGTAACAAAGAAATCTGATCTTTTATGGCAATGCTATTTTTGAAAGCATTTTTCATTATGAAATACTATTTTTTGCCATGACTTCCACGTATCTCATTTCATAATGAAAAATTCCAAGAACTCAGAACATTTGTCAAAGTTGACTAAAAAAGGTACTTTTTGAATTTATTTTCATTTTTTTGAATGTTCCTGTTCATCCCAAGCTCATTTGAGGTCGGGAGTTGAAGAGGACTTCGCTTACAATTGCGCTCCCACACTACTCGGAAGCTCAAATAGACTTGGCACATTATGGCCCACCGCCCAAGGCCAATGGAAGGCAACGGCATAGTTTTTTCAATGGAAATCACCCACCAGGGCTATGTCTCGCCCTTACCGATTCCTAATAGGAATCGTCTAAGGGCGGACGACTACGTGCTGGCCCATTAGCTGTTTAATTCGATGCCTTCACTTGTTCGTGTCGGGTCGCTGTTGTCGATCGGTTTAGTCCGGTTTTCCTTCTCATTTCCGATTGTTTTTTCTTTGGTTTATCTTTTTGTTCATTATGTTTCGATTTTATTTGTTGTTCCAACGGTTTTATTTGGTTTGTTTTCTTCTTTATACTTTGGTTTTCTTTCTTGGAATTTTTGGTATCTTTTATTTTTCTTTTTGTTTCTTTGTTTTTTTTTTCAACACATGCCTACTGTTTCATACATATCATACATTTTTCGTGTAATTGTAAAACATTTTTTATACACGTTTAATATTTGCAAATACATGTTAAACAGTTTTTTGAACGATAAAACCCATTTTTTGAACTATGCCAACATTTTTGTACATTGTACAAACATTTTTTGAGATTGTCACGAACACTTTTTTTGAAACTTTTTGAATATTTTTTAAATGTAACATAAATTTTTTAATGTTCAAAACATATTTGTTGAATTACACGATTTTTTGCATTTGTATTTAAAGAAATGTCACATAAATTTATTTTGAAATGTGCAATATTTTATAATTGTTGCAACATTTTATGTACATATGCCAACTGGTATACATAACTAACATTTTCTATGTTTTACATTCATAGTCATACATTTTTCATATACAACAGGAACATTTTTCTATACACATTTAACATTTTTCAGATGCAATACTGTCATTTTCAAAATTTTATGTGAAGTGTTGTATATTTATATTTAAAATATTTCGAAATATGAACGAAAGTAAAAAAATAGAAATGTGAAGAAAAAAAATGTGCATGACATCAGCGAGCCGTTCCTGTAAGGCTCGCAGAGGGAGGCACATCTATATCTATATCTATATCTATATCTATACCTACTATTAAAGGGAATAGATATTCTTGGTTTGGTTTAGTTCTTTACATTTGGTTTACACACGTTAAGCGATCTGGGCGAGTTACTTGTATGTTGATGGGCCTTTTATGGGCTTTCATAGAGAGACCATGAAAAATAATTAGGTCAAAAAAATCAACATTGTAGGAATTGAACACAAGACCTCCTGTCGATCTTTTAGATGTAACAACCAAAGACTTTTGCACCTTTCATATTTACTAATCCCAACTCACTCTAAATATATGAATGGCAGTCATCATTTTTATTTATTTTTTTGCGAGAAAATGAGTTAATATTAAAACGGCCAAATTACTGAAAGGTCCACACAGAAAAGAAAATTACAACCAAGCCCCTCTGCAACCTGACTACGCCGGCGCCGTAGACAAGCCGGTGACGCGCCGTTCGCCGCTGCTCGTTGACGCCTTGGATCGAAGCAGCCCCTGGGCGAAACGGGAAGTCTCCGATCAACGGTCCCTGAGGACCTACACCCATGGCCGTCGTTGTCGTCGCACCGCTAAACATCGCCTTCCTTCTCCAGATCTTCAATCGCCGGAATCGCCATCCCTCAATCTCCGGCATGGGGGAGCCGTGCACGGCCTCTCCACCGAGCAGCGAGCACGAAGAAAGGAGCTGGTCCACCGCGGAGCTCCACTGGAACTTCGCCGTCGAAGGGGAGACAAACACCTACAAAAAGCCGATCCAGTCACACCGTCGCCTCCACGACGCCACCGGTTGGCTCCCTAGGCACTCCTACACTATGTACACGCTGCAAATCGGGCCTCCCCCGTCCTCCCGCCGCCGGAGCGTCTGGCGGAGGCCGAGGGAGCCGCCGATTCGGCAACGGCGAGGTGGAGAGCCCGGGGTTCGCACAAATCGCCCTTCGTTCCTGTAGATGGAGAAGGGTGAGGTCCAAGGCTCATGTTTAGGGTGAGCTAATTAAGCGAATGAGCTAATAAAGGAAGGATTGTGGGCTTAAATATAATATTTAAACGAATGTGGCTAATTAAAGAAAGGATTATGGGTAAATCGGTGGAATAACTATTAGAAAGATTGTGGTATTAATAAATTCTACATGAAGGATTTGAGGTAAAATGGTAGGATAATTAAAAGGAATGATCTATAGGCCTTAATGTGTTAGGGCTACTAAATTAGAAAAGGAAGGATTTGATTCCCGACTAAAATGGATGAGGACTTCATGGTAATTAATGAAAGGATCATACTTAAATGCCATTAAAAAGGATTGTATTTAAATGAAATCAGTGAGACATTATGTCCCGCAAAGAAAATATGAACACGACTAAATTGTGATGTATTTTTTTATGTTCATTTTGTAGAAGGACGATATTGCATTACAATATATTCTTCATAATGAATCCGATGTTGTGAGACATTATGTTTGTGCAAAACATTAATTTTTCCGTTGCAACACACGGACATAGGTGCTAGTAGCCACCTACGCAACGATTTCTTCATGGCCAGCATGCACGCTCGCTCTGGATCGAGGAGGCTTCTCTTGTGTGCTGGGTCCGGCGATGACAGTGGCGACGTCTGCCTTTTATCCAGCCCGCTGTTCCATGGAAGGAGATCGCGAGGAAATCGGTAACACTTTATGCATCCAGTTTCTATTTCTCCAGTGACACTTTATGCATCCGCGGACGCGGGCAGCGACCGATCACCTCCTATTTCTCCGTGTTCGTGGCCGTGCTCCTCAAATGTCGGCCCTCCCAGACCCATGCAATTCGTGCAACTACCTAGATGACACAACAACGTAGACCAACATACTACATAATACTCCGTATAGCACAATCCGAACCCCAAAGAGCAAGTTATTGTACAATTGAACCCAAAAGAGCAAGTTCATCACCGGACAGATAAACTAGATACATTAAATAAACTAGATAAAGGTAGAGGGTCGTCGGACATCACCATTTCCTCGCCAGCCCCTTTCCCTTGTGGTCTCATCCGGGACTCCAAACAATATTCGGTCACCAAATCACATAACTCATATAATATAATATCATCATCGAACGTTAAGCGTGCGGACCCTACGGGTTTGAGAACTATGTAGACATGACCGAGACACCTCTCCGGTCAATAACCAATAGCGGAACCTGAATGCTCATATTGGTTCCTACATATTCTACGAAGATCTTTATCGGTCCTACCGCAATGACAACATATGTTATTCCCGTTGTCATCGGTATGTTACTTGCCCGAGATTCGATCGTCGGTATCTTCATACCTAGTTCAATCTCGTTACCGGCAAGTCTCTTTACTCGTTCTGTAATGCATCATCCCGCAACTAACTCATTAGTCACATTGCTTGCAAGGCTTATCCTGATGTGTATTACCGAGAGGGCACGTAGACACCTCTCCGATACGATAAATCTTAATCTCGATCTATGCGAACACAATAAACACCTTCAGATATACATGTAGAGCATCTTTACAATCACCCAGTTACGTTGTGACATTTGATATCACACAAGGTATTCCTCCGGTATCCGGGAGTTGCATAATCTCGTAGTCAAAGGAACATGTATAAGTCATGAAGAAAACAATATCGATAAAACTTAACGATCATTATGCTAAGCTAACAGATGGGTCTTGTTCATCACATCATTCTCCTAATGATGTGATCTAGTTCATCAAATAACAGCACATGTCTATGGTTAGGAAACTTAACCATCTTTGATTAACGAGCTAGTCTAGTAGAGGCATACTAGGGACACTGTGTTTTGTCTATGTATCCACACATGTATCAAGTTTCTGGTTAATACAATTCTAGCATGAATAATAAACATTCATCATGATGTAGGGAAATATAAATAACAACTTTATTATTGCTGCAAAAAAACTAAACCAGTGCCGCAAACCTGTCCTACGTTCTCATGAAGCATCTGCAGCCACGATTGCCAAATGTGACACTCTATGCGTCCATAGACAACAACCGGTCATCGTGCTCCTCAAATATTTGCCCTACAAATCTATACAATCCATGCAACTACGTGTATCAACATTCATATGTAGCATAATAATGCGAGCACAATTGAACCGAACAGTGCAAGTTCATCACGCGACAAATAAAGTAGATACATTAAATAAACCAGACAGCTAGATAAAGGGAGAGGTACGCCGGACATCACCATTTCCTTGCCGGCCCTTCCCCTTGCGGTCACCAGAGCAACGGCAATAATAGTTCTCCACATAGGCGTTGTCGGTGGTAGTGCTAGTCGTGCCATTGTCGGACGTCAACGGAATGATGCCCGTAAAACAACGGGCGGCGCGGGCCTCATCCTTCGCTAGGCTGGCCGCTTCGCCTTCTCCTTTTGCGGCGCACTCGGACTCTTCGATGCCGAGCCGGAGCGCCTTCGTGTTCTTGTGACGGAGGCACCTCACGTCCGTCTCTGCGGTGATCAGCGACCGGCGAAGGACCTCGTGCAGAAGCTGCTCCTTCAGATCGACCAGTGTGGACATTGCATAGGTGCGATAAGACCTCACGCACCTGTCCGAGAGGAACTGACCTCTGCCGCCCTCTGTGCGGCCCGCTGCCTCTCACGGCGTGCGACTTTTGCTTTCGATTCCGGAGTCTCGACTGCTGGCTCGGCGCAACAACGAGAACCCAGTGCTGCCCGAGAGGAGCTAGGGCTAGAGGGGTAGGCGAGGGGCATGGCCAGCGACGGGTCTGCAACGGCGGGTTAGCGCAGTCAAACTTGTGTTGCGTCGCCGAGCTACCAGGGACGACGCAAAGCTCAAGCTCCTGCCCTTGTCCATCTGCGACCGCTAAAGGGCATTGCAGAGCGTGAGCTCTTTGTTGTTTGGTGCCTCGCTGTCAGAGTCCTCCTCCTTGAAGAGCCCGTCTTAGTCGATGGGATCAGACTCGTCGCCGGATGGCACTGCCGGATTGGATGTCCGATCTAGCCATGGTGGAGAGGAGGGGATGGGACGGGAAGGGGAGGGGATGAGACATGCAGTGGAAACGGAGCGAAGCGATTTTGCTGGGATTGCGGAACAAAGTGATTTTGGAGCGAAGCAACTTTGCTCACAAATCTCTGCAGTCCAGGCTGGTACGAACAATTTTGGTGCCGCCGTTGGATGACAAAAATATGTCTAGACACTGTTCAGTCCGGAAATTTGCGCGTGGTTTGATGATCCGTGTTGGAGTTACCCTTATTTTGCTAACTTTCAGCTACTTTATTCATTTCTCGTTGATTATGCGAGTGCACCTTGATCATTATTGATATCCTGTTGATCCATGTGTTATTTGAGAGAGAGAGGAAGAGAGAGAGAGAGAGAGAGAGAATTGGAGCAGAGTTATGAGCATATCATTTCAGATATAGTTCTAAGATTCGTCATTAATCTGCTTAGTCATCTCGCTTTATTACATTGGTATCACGACCGCAAACATATCGTACCAGTCACAGTTCAATTATTGTACTGTTTGAGTTCTTCAATAGGACGACACTTGTTTCGAACCGGTAGCGGTGATGGATCCTAGGAGCGACCAATACTAGCAAGTCAAGTTGGCGTACCTCAGGGTACCAAAAGACTCTACTCTTCTGGAACCCGTCCATGTCGTTTAGGCAGAGGTTGTCGACGATGTTGGGGTACCCCCTTCAGCTTAAGAGTGTAAAAGTGTGGAATTTCACCCCTAGCTATGACTCCTGGTTTGGGAAGCTTGATGGTCATGTGTGACGCCAATAATTTCCTTGCCCATTTCTATTGAATCTGTTTTTATTGTTCCTTTTGTTTTCATTTTTGTTGAATTCAACACTACCAATTATTATCTTCTTTATCCTTTAAATCCAGTTCATCTAATGATACACCATCATACCATCTTATTAAATAGTGAAGTATCCGCTTGCTAAGTATGATTTCTCATACTCACCCTTACTTCCTCTATTTTCTTATGTAGTCATCGACTTGCATAAGAATGCGCAAGACTTCCAATAATAGGCTTGACTAGTGGGTGGGAAGCGACTAGTGAATATAATGTGTTTATTCAGCTATTGTAGATGCAAAGAAATTCATAAAGTAAACATATAAGCTTTTATGATCCCTTGATTTATGTCTGCTTAATCTCACCTTGCATGACTATAGGCCACCTGATGTATAGGCACGCAGCAGCTCTCTTGCCTAGGCCTGGTATCCGGCGTGACAACCGCCGACGTGCTGAATTACATTAACACATTTCACTTATTTGTAACCTCGATTGAAAAAGAATCATGTTAAAACATAAATCAAGAGAAAAAAAAGTACGAAAAGTTGATAAAAAGAGATATGTAAAAGAAAAAAGAAACATACTAACGTCATTCGATTGTGACTTAACCAAGTCTCTAGCCGCATCCCCGTACCGTAACTATACTACTATAAATCCCAGTATTACCCACCACAAGAATTACATTATTATTGGTGTGCACGAGGGTGATACACCTCTACGGCACAAGATAAATTTCTCTTAGGAAAAAAAGATGAACACTTCAAAATCCACTCATCTCATCTCTGACATCCGCTGTCACATTACTCTGCTTGCTTGGCCATCATTCCTCATACAATCTTTCTGTATGGAATTGGCTCCCGATGGCAGAAAATGTACCCTAAACCGAGCGAGAAACCTCCTCAAGATGATCTCGCCGCCGGCGAAACCTTCAACCTCTAGTACATGATGAGAGACCTGCCAGGCAGGACAGCTGACAGATCGGCGGCAGATCCCACAGCGAGTCGCAGGGGTCGTTCCCGATGTCGAACCCGTCGTCCTGCTCCTGCTGGACGACCCCGCTCATGGCGGCGCCGGGCGACGCGGAGTCTTGATCTTGCTTCTCCGGCCTCGCCCCGTCCGCGATCACCCGGCACTCGGCCACGTTGCGTCGGGCGGCGAGCGTCGGGACGGCGGGGCTCAGCGTTGCAGGCCATGGCTGATGCTCGAGGTGTTGATGGAGCTGTTCGCTGCCGTGGCTGATCCACTGGTGGTAAGTCATGTGGTTAGAGAGGCTGGTGGGAGTCGGGGTGTGGTGGGCGGCGGCTCCACTGGCGCTCATGGCGAAGCTGATGGTCGAGCTGGTGCTGCTGGTGTTGTTACCGGCGCTGCCATTACTAGCTGCCGTGGCGAGTCTGATGGTAACAGCGGGCTGCTGGGACGGCGCCCGCGGCGGCGGTGGCGAGGCGCTCTTCTTGAGCTTCTTGTGGGTGAGCAGGGTGCGGATCCTGGACGCCAGCGGCGAGTCCGGCGGCGAGGAGGCGGCGGCGGGGGCGGCGGTGGCGAAGTTGGTCCGCGTGTTGGAGCCCCGGAGGAGGCATGCGGCCTCGTCGTAGGCGCGCGCGGCCTCCTCGGCGGTCTCGAAGGTGCCGAGCCACACCCGTATCTTGTGCGTGGTGTCCTTGATCTCCGCCACCCACCTCCCCGACGGCCGCTGTCTCACCCCGACGAACTTGCACTTGCTGCTACCCCTCCCCTTCGCCGCCGCCGCCGCCGCCTTGCCCACCGCCGCCTCGTACTGGCATTGCTGCTGCTGCTGCTGCTGCTGCTGCTGGAACTGGAGCTCCATTGATTAATATAATTATCTCTCTCTCGAGCTGGTGTAGTCTGGTCTGAACTTTGGGTGGAGGAGGCTGTGCATGAATTTAAGGGAGGGGAGGCGCTGGGGCGAGGTCGTGGAGGGCTTGTCATGGCGCGCATGTCTGTAATGGCGAGATCTTTGTTAGTGGGGTAGCGGGAGGCTGAGTTTTCTAGGGGCGCTAGACGGCAAATCCCGTAGGTTATCTCGATGTTTGATGTGGTCGTACGTCGTGGCTGGCATGTTTGTCCTCTCCCCAGGTTGACGACAGCGCCCTTTGTTTTCAGGCCGGGCGACGCGCGCTACGTGTCCATCCGGGCTTCGATCGCGCGCCATGTCCTCGCCGAGGAAGGGGCGACCGACGGATTATTAAGGACGACGAGCGACGTGGGGCGGATGAAGAAGAAGATGTGACGAGGAGGAGGAGGGAGGGAGGGAGGGGGTCACGTTTTCCGTCGAATTGATTCATTATTTCTTGTGTGTTAGAGCCCGCGCACTACTTCTGAGTAGTGATGACCAACGAGTTTTGTTTATTGATGCTTCTTTTGGGGACGCCATTTGTCAGGTGTGTTGATGATTGGCAGTTGCAATCAGTTGCAGTCTTCGCCGTGCTCAAATATGAATTTGGCTGGTCATTGTCATGTATATACAAAATTCAACATGCATCTGCCCGCTTCGTTAGTGGTTCTTCGTCCGTGCATTTCAAATGGTAAACCACTCGGCCGGTAGACCTATGACCTAGCCGGCGTTCTCTTCGTCTGCAACATGGCACGCATAAGGGAAACAAAAACCATGTTTAAACTTTTCTTTTAGGAAGGTCAAACACCATATATTAAGTAGCATAGACCCTTAGAAATATCAGTCTTGGCATATCTCAGTTATGTCTCAGTACATGCTATATTTGTCAGATCTTACATTGAGATATGTGTAAAAAAATCAGTTTTTTCTTTTTTTCTTTTTTACATGTCATCTTATTATTATTTTTTGCGGGGACATGTCATGTTATTTGACTAAGGCTTGGTTAAATTTCAGTCGACTGAGACCTAGCCACACCCAATATCAGTCTTGTTAAATATCATTGTAGAAAATATATCATTGTTAGAAAATGAGAAATACACCCAATTTTTTGGGATGTCAAATTCTTCTTCCTTCTGCATCCACCGGCGTCGCGTCGTGAGCAAAGCTCGTATCCGCCTCTCAGCCTTTGATGCAACGGAGCAAACTTGTTTAAATCCGAAAACTTGTAGAAGCAGCGACAAAAAAGTTGTCAAGGTAGACCGGAAGATGGAGGCGGCTGCGGTATGCATAGTAAAGACTCCCAAGACCACGCGCACCAACCAAATCCGGACGAATCCACGAAAGACTAAAATCATGAAGATCCACTGGAGACACACCTCCACCGACGCTAAGCGCACCGACAAAATGAGAATAGGAGAGGACACTATTCCTACATTGGAATGACACCTCCACCTTCCCACCCCAATCAAGACACTAAGGGCATCTCCAGCCGTTCGGCCCCCCAGGGCGCCTAAATAGAGCGGCATGGGGGTGTGCCGGCGCTAGTTCGGCCCCTGGGGGCGACCTAGCTCCCAGTCACGCCCCCAAGCGCCGGCCCCAAGATGCGGGAAATTTGAACTAGGTCGTTCCCGCTCATAAAAGACGCCACAAATCCGGCGATCGGACGTAGTCTGGCGTTACAAAAACAGAGCGCCGCACGCCGCAAGTTCGCGTGCGCAACGAATCACTCGGCGGGGTCGGCTCCAGGCGTTGGCGGAGTCGGCGTGCGCGGGCTCGGCGGTGTCGGAGCTGCTTCGGTGCTGGGCTGTGTCGGCGTGGCTTCGGTACTGCTGGGCGGCGATGTAGAGGCGTCGTTCGGGCTTGGCGTCCGTGTGGCCGTGGGCGCGGGAGCTGGCATCGTCGCCGTTGCCGTCGGCATCTGGTTCAGGATGAGGCCGCGCTCCGCCATGTACCACGCCCTGAGCTGCTCGTCGTTGCTCTGGAGCATGTCCGCACCGCCCATCAGAAAAGCCATGGGCGACGACGATCCCCATGGAGATCCGACGCCTTGCTGTCCCCAGGGCGCGTACTGGGCGTGGCTGACGACGGGTGGGTTCATCATCCCCGCGTGGTCGACCGATGAGGAGGACGCCGCCGCGAGCGCCGCTTTGTCGCGGGCCTTCTTGGCGATGGCCCTGTTCCGCCGATTGGCGGTGACTGCGTCGCGTCGCTGAACTTCCACCCTCCACTCGGCGTTCGACATGCCCGGTGGCTTCAATGGCGGCGCCCCTCGGCTTCCTCTGCTTCGGCTGGGCCACGGTGCCAGTCGTGATTGCCGCCGCGTGCGGCATGGCGTACTTCTTCGGCGGCATGGCGGCGACTCGAAGGCGGGCGGGAGGAGGGTTTGGCGGGAGGAAGGGAGGAAATGGTGGGAGGAAGGCGAGCAAGCGGGAGGGATGCGAGGGAAAAGCGTCAAGAAACGACGGGAAAAGGCCCTCGGGTCGCCGCCAGGGCGGACCCACGCGCCTTTTTCGCTTGTGCCGGCTCCCCAAGCACCCCCCAGGGCGTCGGGTTCGGCCTGGGTCCGCCGGCACCAGTTTTGGCCCGAGCCGGCGAAAAACGGTCTTCTGGGGGCGCGACTGGGCCCTTTTTTTGGCGCCGGCACGGCAAAAACGCCTGGGGAAGGCCTGTTGGGGGCGCGGCTGGAGATGCTCTAAGACTACATGGCAAAGCTAGGCTGAGTCGCTGCTAAAGGTCGTTGGCATGCTAAGAGCATCTCCAACAGGGGCTCAAAAATTCCTCAGACAGTAAAAACAATCATTTTTGTGCTCCGGAGACAGAAAACAGCACTCCTGCAGACGCTGTAAAATAGAGCGTGCACAAAAAGTTTTGGCGCATGGGTGTGCGCGCAGCCTGCTGCGCTGCAATTTTGGGGGTGCCGGATTATGCGCGCGGACACGCTCATAAGCTGCTTTATCCACAAAGGTGTTCAAATAAACGAGTACAAAATATGTAACCATGAATTTGTGAAACTTGTGTTTTTCTCTCTCATGTGTTAACACACAATCTAAGCCAAACAACAACAACAACAACAAAAACAACAACAACAACAACAACAACAACAAAATATTGAGTGATTGACAAAAAAACTACCATTTTAGGGGTTTGCGTCCCACAGAACTACCACTTTAAAAAAAGTGACCGAAAACTACCAAAATTTTCTAATTTTATGACTAAAACTACCACTTTCAGATAATGACCAATTTAAACTATTTAAACGTGTTTATGACAGGCGGGGCCATCTGTCAGCGGACTCAGCGCGACGTGGCGTCAAAGTCAACTTCACAGGAGAGGCGGACGACGAGCGCCCGCGCGTGGAAGCTCGTCGGCGGGAACCTAGCGGGTGCGGTTACGTAGGGAAGGGCTCGAGGTCGGGCGCGAGCGTCCTTCAACACGACCTTCACTGTGGACGTGGACGGCGGCGACTCTGACGCCGCGTCGTTCGTGGTGCTCCTTGACAGCTTCCCGTCGGTCAACATCGGGAACGAGAAGTACGGTCCTCGCCGCAACACTAGCAACTCGGTCGTGCTCGCTGCATCCATGCCGAACGCCACCAACGGCCTCGCCAATGTTGAGGTCGGCTCGGTGAGCTCGTACGGGCCGCGGCCGCCGCCGGGCGTCGGCCTGAACATCACCATCACGCCCAACCGATCATCGCCCGCCGACACCAGCCAGCTCGCCGTGCGGATCGAGTACGACGCCCCCACGCACCGCCTCTCAGTCTACGCCCACGACACGGCCGCCGACTACCCGCCCGTCAACGACAGAACCACCCTCCTCCTCGACGCGCCACTCGACCTGGCCGACTGCCTGCCCGCCAAGGCCGCACCGGTGGGGTTCTACGACTCCACGGTCCCACGCCGGCATCCGGCAGGGGCGGCTACGTCGGGGCCGGTGCGAGGAAGCGGCTGCGTGGGGGCGCGACGCCGGGCCCTCCCTGCTGAGCCCGGTGGAGGGCGACAGGTTCAGCTGCTGCGCGTGGGCTCGACGCCGGGCCCTCCCTGTTGAGCCCGGTGGACGGCGGCGGAGGTGGCGCGCCGGTGCAGACAAGGTGTTTGGGAAAATGCCACAGAGAGGAGGAAGAAGGAGGAGGTTGACGCTGACACGTGGGCCTCGCCTGTCATAAACACGTTTACATCGTCTAAACTGGTCTTTATCTGAAAGTGGTAGTTTTTAGTCATAAAATTATAAAATTTTGGTACTACCTCCGTCCGGGATTTTAAGGCCGTAGAGCAACGAAGCGCTGTCCGGTTTTCTAAGGCCTGTTGCTGTTCCCTACGTATCTGTCGATAGTATTAATTGGAGAGGCTGCATCCTGATTGGGCATGGGACACGCATGCGGTGGGGAGCTGTGGCTGCATGCATGCAGGCTAGCGGATTGGCAAGGCGATTAATCATCCTAGCAAGTTAACTGGCCAGATTTAAAGCTAAAAACTGCTTACGAGGTGCCTTGGTCTGGGAGATTTGGTCTTTAGGCCCAATATACCCGGACGGAGGTAGTAGTTTTCGGTCACTTTTTTAAGTGATAGTTCTGTGGGACGCAAACCTCTAAAATGGTATTTTTTGTCAATCACTCAAAAATACTCTACTAAATACTGAAGCTGCCAAAAGCCCTTGGTTTTTCCAAAACTGCAAATTACTATAGTACTCCTTCTGTCTAGGTGTATAAGTCACCTTACAAAGACAAAATAATCCCAGAACACTTAGGCGTGATACATTAATTCTCACCTCGTTTTTTGTTTCTTGACATAAGTAAAGGAATCAACCAATAAGAGATGTGGGACGTGTATATGCTTTCAATGACTTGAGACTACCACACACGACATGCAGTGCTCAGTTCATTGCATGCAATGCAATTAATTAACAAATAAGCATTAAATTCTCTCGTTTTCCCCTTTGTCTTGGTCACGGTGCACAACCTACTCCCTCCTTCC